GCACTTTAAAACAATTAATGACATTTTTATTGTTCGTACAGTACTAACTACTGTTCACAGCAATTGCCATAATTATAAGTCGATGTCCTGCGAAGTATTGATACATCAAAAAAATATTGCCAGAAAAAAACTTAATGTTGTTTTCTTTATTATGATTATATAAAAAAACACAAACTTTGTTTGTAGTTAATTTAGCGCGAAATCTAGGGCTTTTTTAAAGCGCTGTTTTCATGAAATCTAGCGCTTTTTGTGTTGTCCTAGAGCTGAATGAGTTTTTTTTTTTATCTGGCAGCACTGCCCAAAAACCCTGTATTCAGAAGTAACTTTCCTTTCAGTTTTTAGCGCGTTCAGTTCCCAGTTACAGTGAGCGTGTGTTATGCGATGACCGTAAATAAAGCGCAAGGTCAAACTTTACGCGTTGTAAGAGTGTACCTCAACACTCCTACAACGCGTAAAGTTTGACCTTGCGCTTTATTACGGTCATCGCATAACACTGCCTGTTTTGCACATGGCCAACTCTATGTTGCTTTTTCCCGCGTTAGTAGCCCCCGTAACCTTTTTGTATACACCCCGGCTAAGCCTACTTCTAACGTCGTTTACACAGAAGCTCTATCATAAAGGACTTAGAACTTTGATGATAATGATTTATTTAGTTACCACTTATTGATACAGTAATGAAATAAATCGTCTAATATTCTCTTACCTAAACGACAAATTCTTTATGTAAAACCTGTATACGCGAGCTACGCCGCGGGCACAGCTAGTACATAATAAATTGTACGCGGATTTAACTGTGTGCGATAGTTGATCCGGAAGCTGAATCGCTTGTCCGTTTCGATGCGATTTTGGTTCCATTAGAGTACAAATCTCTAGCGGTTTTATAATTTAAATGAAAATAAGGAACCAACATTTATTTTTATTTGTGATGTACTTAATAATAGGAATAATATATTTGACGAACGTCTCCTATCTGTGAAATGCATTCGGTGTTCTTGTGTTCGTGAGTCATTCTTATTATAAATTTCCTGTTTTAATTTATATTACGTATATTATGGAATATTTTATGACTGTACAGTTTGCACAACATAAAATAATACATATTTTTACTTTCTGTAATCCTGACCATCCAAGAGTTATTTTTTTATAGAATGAGGGTGATAAACGAGCACGCAGTCCTCCTAATTTTAAACGGAAACTGTGGCCCATAGACATCCTCATTTATTCTCATTTAAAATTGTCACCACTGAGGACTAAGGTAGTATGCCTTGCATCCAGTAAAAAGGGCCTCCAGTTCTATAAAGACGTTTATTTCGGGATGTCTGGAACGAAATCCCTTTAAGCAACAGGACCACCCGTAGTTTCCTTGTGTTTATGATTTTGATTTTTCTTCTTTTTTGTTCTTTTTATTTATAAACAGCATTTTCTAGAGAAAATCACCACTTACAATCATTTGAGATATGAAAAGTCACATTTCATGATCATCCTACAGCTCAGTACAGGCCTCCTTTCATTACTGAGCAAATGCTCACAAGCGGTGGACTAAAGCACTAATCTAGTAGTGTAGTAGCGGGTTAAGAATATCCACTAACATATGTCATCCTGTAGTGACACCAATCATGTCGGTGTCGTAGGGAACAAATCGTGAGCCTAAATAATAACGACTAAAAATAAAAAAATGCGGTTGCCAAACAGCTTTCCAAGCGTGACAATTACGCAAATATCCCCTTCGATGAGGTAATCTATGAAGGAGGCCTATATTTAGCAATAGACTTTAGAAGGCTGTAACAGTAACAGAAATTGCTAAAATGCGTGTTTTTTTAGAAAATTAGTTTTCTTGACGATATTTTTCTTCCCCAACGAGCTCGTTAAATCTGAACTTAAAATTGTAATTACCAATTTTATTGGTGCCGGTGTAGATCGAAACCGGGTTGCTGGCGTTCTATGAAGTTTATGCCTAGAGCTTAGTCCCTATAGGACTCTTTGAACAATAAAGCACTGACTTATGATCAATAAAAATGAACACCATACTTATTAACCACTAACATTCAGTCGTTAGAAACTTATCTCATTGGGATCATCATCTTCATTGGAGAATAAAACAAAATAAATATATTAATAAAAATACTATGTTTTCAAAACATTTACTTTCTTAATTATTGTGAATAAATACGTCGTAAGTTTCTGAAACATAAACTTCATTCATCAGCCCTGCACAAGTCTACTGCTGAACATAGGCCTCCCTCAAGGATGTTATAACGCACGGTCCTGAGTCACCTGCATGTTTTACCAGATCGTCACTCTATCTAATACGGGGCCACCCTACAATATACTTACCGGTAAGAAACTGTCACTTGAGAACCTTTTTTTCCTATCGGTTATCGGTACCTCGAGCGATATGGCCGGCATATTGCCACATCAGCTTACTGATCCTTTGAGCGGACGGTTTTTTTATTTTTATTTTACAGGCCCAATAAAAAACTTTTTGCCCGAACAAATTATTGTAGACTTTGTTAAAGCCAGTTATTATAACAAAAATTATAAATTATTTATTCTATTGATATTTTAGTAATAAAATGAAAACAGAAAGAGAAAGTAAATATACTTACGAGCTGTGATGAGCTAACACACTAAATTAATAGTTTACAATCGCTGCCAATTTTCTCACAGAGGCAAACCACAATTGTTCTTGATCTATTACCAATTTGCCGATTGAATTGAATTAGCTTTGTTACATTTATTTAATAATAGTGGAATACTGCAGATTGATTAATATTATTGACAAACGATAGTGAAAATTGAATTCTTATATTTACACGAACACTTAATATTGAATAAAACTATTTTTACGGATTTTATCGCCCCCGTAGCTATGGTTTGTTTTAAAGCATTCGAAAGGTCGGGAATCAAAATAGTAAATTAAACGCGATAAAATCCAGAAAAATAGTTGTATTTAATGAATAGTGAAAATTGTATTAATTCGTAATAATGCATTATTCATCATTCATCATTATCATTACAGCCCTTCACAAGTCCACTGCTGAACATAGGCCTCCCCCAAAGAATGCCACAAAGCACGGTCCTGAGCCACCTGCATCCATCGACTTCCTGCATATCTTACCAGGTCGTCACTCCATCTAGTGGGAGGACGCCCTACACTTCGCCTGCCGGTACGAGGCTGCCACTCGAGAACCTTTCTTCCCCATCGGTTGTCGGTTCTTCGAGCTATATGGCCGGCCCATTGCCACTTCAGCTTACTAATCCATTGGGCTATGTCGGTCACTCTGGTTCTACTGCGGATATCCTCATTTCTGAGTTTATCACGCAAAGAAACTCCGAGCATAGCCCTCTCCATAGCTCGCTGTGCGACCTTGAGCTTCCTCATCCGGCCAGCAGTGAAGGACCACGTCTCAGTTCCATATGTCATCACTGGCAACACACACTGGGTGTACAGTCTCGTTTTCAAGTTTTGAGGTATACCTGACGAGAAGATGTGCCGTAATTTCCCGAACGCTGCCCAACCGAGTTGAATCCGTCGATTGACCTCTCGGTCGAAGTTGGACTTACCTAGTCGGACTATTTGTCCCAGGTAAACATACTCGTCAACAACTTCGAGCTTAGTGTTCCCAACAACTACCGGCATAGGTGTGACATGGACATTAAACATGATCTTTGTTTTGTCCATGTTCATCTTAAGACCTATCCGTTGGGAAACACTATTGAGGTCATTGAGCATAGTGCTTAGGTCCTCCAGCGATTCTGCCATAAGAACTATATCGTCGGCAAATCGAAGGTGAGTGATGTACTCGCCATTGATGTTGATACCGTATCCTTTCCAGTCCAGAAGCTTGAAAACATCTTCCAATGCTGCGGTAAAGAGTTTCGAGGATATGACGTCACCCTGTCTTACACCTCTCTGCAATTGGATAGGTTTCGTACTCTGGTTCTGTACTCGGATAGCCATCGTAGCCCTACTGTACAAGCACTTCAACACCTCGACATACCGACAGTCAACTTGGCATCGCTGAAGGGACTGCAGCACCGCCCAAATTTCGACGGAATCAAAGGCTTTCTCATAGTCCACATACGCCAGACATAGTTGCAATTTGTACTCCACGGACTACTGTGCAATTTGCCGAAGGGTATGTATGTGGTCTATGGTGCTAAAGCCTTTTCGGAAACCAGCTTATTCGGGAGGCTGGAAGTCGTCAAGTCTGCTCGCGAAACGATTCGTAATGACTCTCGAAAACAGCACGTAGACGCGGCTCAGAAGGGAAATCGGTCTGTAGTTCTTCAATAGAGCATTGTCCCCTTTCTTGAAGAACAAGACCACCGCACTTCTGCTCCACGCTTCCGGTGTAATGCCACCATGGAGGACGGAATTAAAGAGCTTCTGAAGGACTTCAAGTACCGGTTTTCCACCCGCTTTCAGAAGCTCCGCTGTAATTCCATCCTCGCCTGGGGCCTTGCCGCTTTTAAGGTGCTGGAGAGCCATTCTTATTTCGCTCAGACTGACGTCCGGGATATCATCGGAATAATGTCGGATAAGACTCGCTCTTGGATCGTTACTCACACTTGCGTGCGGCTCCAACGATGACGTGTACAGCTGCCCATAGAACCTCTCAATCTCACTCAAAATCTCAGGTGCCCCGGAAATGATGCTGCCACATTCGGTCTTCAGCTTTGATAGTTGGCTCTTTCTGGCAGACAGATCTCTGGCAAAGACTTTGGAGCCTTGGTTCCGCTCGATCGCTTCTTCAATACGAGCTGTATTGAAGTTGCGTAAGTCCCGCCGCATGCATTTAGAGATCTGTCTGTTCAGTTGCCTGTATGCTGTCAAATCTGTTGAAGAATGTAGCTTCATCTCCCGTCTAACAGCCATGAGATTAAGAGTGTGATCGGAGAGTTTTTGTGTTCTTCTGCGGCGGGTCTTGCAGAACTTAGCTCCGACCGCATGGACAGTTTCCACGAGCTTGTCATTCAAATCGTCCACTTCATTGCAGTCTTCTAAGCACTGAAAACGGTTTTGTTAATAATGCAAAAGTTAGCGTTATTCGGGTATTGCGAATTAACTTAATGCCTTTTGTGAGGAGATTTGCACACACGCACAGTCTACCTGATGGTAAGCGTTGCTTTGGCTTATTAATAGCAACACCCATCATCGATTAAGAAACAAAATGCAGATGCTTTGTCATTCCTAAGGGGTAAAGATGGAATGCCATAATACCAGTAAAATGAGTCTCCGTTTGATGTTGTTGTTTCAAACTAATATTTTAAAGAGCTAAAGTTGTTTGTAAATAATATTTAAGTTTGTTTGTAAGAGTTAATCTCTGTAGTAATTAATTTGATTCTGAAAATTCTTTCACTCTAAAAAAGGTACGCCATTCCCGATTGATAAATGCTATATTTTTCACAAATAAAAGTTTGTTTATAGTATCAATAGTCAGTAGTCAGTTTATTAATGAATTTCACTTATTATATTCTAAAAAATATTGCAATCATTTTGCTTTTCTACCGACATCAAAAAGAAGGAGGTACTCAATTAGAATTTATATTATTTTTTTATGTGTTACCTCATAACTTTTTTCTGCATGAACCGATTTCGATGATTCTTTTTTTAAAGCTGTTGCTTTCACATGAGGTCCCATTTAAATTTGATTAAGTTTTAACCAGTAGTTTTTGAGTTATCCTTAATAGTTTGTATTGAAGTCGGTTGTACAACTTTTTTATTTTAAATTATATCAGAGTCAGGTAGAAAACTTATAAACAAAAACCTTTTATTGGTATATATTATATTCGTATATCGTCATTGGAGTAACAAGTTCAAACTTCATCATCATCGAAATATCAGCTTATCATAAGTCTACTGCTAAACATGCATCTTCCCCAAGGAATTTCACAAAGCCTGGTTCTGAGCCATCTACATTAATCGACTACTGCATATCTTACCAGGGCGTATCATGGTTTTACAACGTATAAATGAAATGATTCCTGAAGACTACGATGGAATGTTTCATTTCCTGTAAAAAAGGGTCTCCGGTTCTATAAAAAAAAAAAAACGTTCGGTCTATAAAAAAACAAAAATCTTACATGGCAAACTATAGCCTCATACCAGTAAGCGAAGTGTACGGCGGTCCCCTACTAGATGGAGTAATCATTTGGTAAGATACAAGAAGTCGATAGATGCATATGATTTAGGACCGTGTTAAGCAGGGGATTTATGATGGTGTAATTATGATGATGATAGCAATAAAACTTACGAGCTGTATAATATATATATTTCCACGAGACAGCCATGAGATTAAGAGTGTGATCGGAGAGTTTTTGTGTTCTTCTGCGGCGGGTCTTGCAGAACTTAGCTCCGACCGCGTCACCCAGTGTCACTTAAGCTTACTAATACGTTACTGTAGAAACGTAACTCATAGTAAGCTTAAGTGACAATGGATCACCCGTATAGCTCGAAGAATCAAGTACCGATGGAGAAGAAAGCTTCTCCAGTAGCAACCTGGTCCCGGTAAGTGAAGTGTCGGGCGACACCCTACTAACTGTAGTGACGTTCAGACGATAGGACATGCAAGAAGTCAGTAGGAGCACATTAACTTAAGACCTTGTTTTGTGGCATTCCTTAGAAGAAGCATACGTTGTATGTTCAAAGCAAATAGCAAACTTCATTATAACTTCCTATTAGTTAGTAAAATAATTAATTAAAATAATATATTACATAGTAAAATATCACTAAAAACTTTTTATATTTTACTCTAATTAAGTTTGTTTTGTAAACTAGCAACTTTGGAAATTTGTGGTTTATTCCAGTTACCAAATCTTACCACGTCTAGTAGACAGCCGACCTACACTTCACTAACTAGAGCGAGACTTTCTTTGCAATATGTTGTTGATTCATCGAGCTACATGGCTGACCCATCAAAAGACAAACAGTTGCAAGTCACCTTCTAAATAAACTTTACAGAAATAGCTTACAAAATACAAGTTTCATGCTATGTATGACCTGACAAACACCAAATCTGAACAGTGGATTTTTATAGATTGTAATGTTTGATATCTGTCCTCCTATCAACAGAATTGTCTGAAGTTGAGTCTTTGCTGAACAAAGTCTCGGACTGGGGGCGACCAAATCTAGTCCAGTTTAATCTCCTTGAGACACAAGTTTGCGCGTTTACCGCTAAAAAGAACCCCTTTGTCGTATTTCCTTAGTTTCAAGGCACTCCTCTTGTTTAGTCGGCCAGTATCGGAATCCTCGGCGTCGACATATCGAATTATGTGCAGTTTCTAGGTCGCTTGGCCTCTAAAAAGTTTGGCTTGTTCAGCAGAGCGGGACAGTATTTCATCGCGGGACAGTATTTCATCGCGGCACACCGTTCGCAACTTTACAAGACACAGGTTCGGCCTCTGGAATACTGTTCCCATTTCTGGGCTGCGGCTCCCCAGTGCCAGCTCCTTCCCCTTGACTGCATCCAGCGCAGTGTGGCCCGAATCGTCGACGACCGAGTCCTCTCCGATCGGCTCGATTCCTTGGCGTTGCGAAGAGATGTTGCATCACTTTGCATTTTCTTTCGCATCTACCACGGGAATTTTTCGGATTAATCCCAGCCGTTAAATTTCACGAACGCACATCGCAGCAAAACCATCTATACCATCTGGATACTTGGCGGCCTAAAACCGTACGTTTTACCAGGAGTTTTCTTCCTCGTACGACCTCTCTGTGGAATAGTTTACCACCAGTGATTTTTCAGGACTATACGGCTTAGGGACCTTCAGAAAAAGACTTACACCTTTCTAAAAAGTCAGCAAACCACCTGCAATTCCTCAGGTGTTCCAGTTGTTCAAGGGCGGCGGTAGTCACTTACCATCATGTGAGCCGTAACGCTCGTTTGCCCCCTCTCTTATGAAAAAAACAACCATAAATAAGTTTACCTAGTTAGTAAGTTCATTGCGATAAAAGAAAATTAAAGCTAGACAAGTTTTGCTATCTTTATAATGGCAAAGCAAGACATAGATTAAATATTGGGAACGACCGTTCGAGTGAATCGACAGGCGACCTCTCGAGTATATGGAAACGCGCTGGGAGATCACAATTCAGCTTGAATAATATTATTAATGTAAGAAATTATTTTAATATCTTTAAAAAATGAGTTATAGCGTATTTTTGATGTCCAATTTTAACATGCGCAATAAATATAAGCTTGTTCCAAAGCAGGCTTCAGAAAACTACCTGCTCATTCTTGGGAAGATGTATATGTACTTGTAATGTATGCCAGTCTCGTCTCATAACGTCGCACTCTTAAATATTAATATTATAGTTTATTTCATACAAATATTAAAATTATACCCAGTTATTATTTATTATTACCATAACAGACTTTAGAATCACATGCTGAATAATTATTAGTCTTGATTATAAACAGAAATTGCCAAAAACCGGTAGAGGTTATTTTCAATTTGAGCGTCTTCAAGATGAGTGTTTTGATAAATAGGCTTTGGTTAAAGTAAGTCAGTGCGCTTTACCATCTTCCAATGCATCACTACTAATCATCAGGTGGGCTAGTAGTCAAGAATTGACTTCTTAAAGTTAAAAAAATATATATTCATGTATTACATTGTTCTCAGCAATTCATTTAAATTTTGAAAATTTTGTAGGAAATATGTTGTATAAAATTGTGCACAAAATAACTTTTTCTTTTTAAAAATATTGCTACAAAGAGCTTCTTATTTACACCACACAGCGTCACATGATGATCGTGTACAAATTTATACTTGCTTTTTTCATATCTAATTTTTTAACCTAAGCTTGTAGGTATTTGGGAAACAACATATTTCTTTTTTTTATAGGATAGGGTGACAAACGAGCACACAGTCCACCTGATGATAAGTGGTTGCTGTGGCCCATAATCATCTACATCTATCTTCATTTGTGAATCAAAATTCAGATGCGTTGTCACCCGTGAGGGCTAAGCTGGAATGCCTTCTTTTTTTTAAAATAAACCAGTTAATCTTACAGTAAATTCTTTTTCTTTCTCCTGTATCGTGCAGATGAACTGTGCCAAAATTCAATCCTATGAATAAAAACACTTTTACAGTAGACAGACAGATATCGCCGTGATATCATAAGTGTTCCGTATTGCTAAATTTTGCTGGAATACTAAAAATACACAACAGCATTTTGCTACTATTATATGCTGGTATTCTAAGAGTATATAGAGCTAGTCTATGCCGTGTAGTGGCAGTCAAGAATATCCACTACCCCATATCCTCCCGTGGGTGTCGTAAAAGGCGACAAAGGGAAACAGGCAGAAGATGGGCAGCAGCATCTTCCTGATAATAGCCAAAATTATAAAAAAAAAACTGCGGTTGCCAACCCGCTCGCCAAGCGTGGCAACTATGGCAAATACCCCCCAATGACTAAAGCAACAAACAGACGGCCCCCAGTCCCCGGCGGCCCCGCTATTCCTGGCTACGGTGGCGACCATGGTAACGGCGGGGCAGGGGGTGCTAAGAATCTCCGGTGGAGTTTCGGTTGCCACCTTAGACGACTCGACCTGGCAACGTACAACGCACGCACCCTGAGGACTGACGAGAAGATCGTGGAGCTGGAAGAAGAGATAGACAAGTTGCGCTGGCATATTATAGGATTATCCGAAGTCCGAAGAGAGGGGGAGGACACGGTAATCCTCGAATCCGGCAACTTGCTCTATCACCGGGAGGGCGACCATCTGTCCCAAGGAGGTGTCGGATTTATCGTCCACAAGTCTCTCGTTAACAACGTTGTAAAGATCGGGAGTGTGTCGACGGGGGTTGCGTACCTTATACTCAGAATCACCAAACGGTATTCGCTGAAGGTCATACAGGTTTACGCACCAACCTCGGCACACCCCGATCAGGAGGTGGAGGAAATGTATGAGGATATCTCTAGAGCCATGCATTCCTCCAAAACCCAATATACGGTGTTAATGGGAGACTTCAATGCAAAACTAGGCACAAGAGAGAACGGTGAGCTGAAAGTAGGGAAATTTGGAATAGGGCAACGGAACCCAAGGGGCCAGCAGCTGGCCGACTTCATGGAGAAAGAGGAACTCTTTATGATGAACTCTTTCTTCCAGAAGCGGCCCCACAGGAAGTGGACCTGGTCGAGCCCCGACGGTTCGACAAAAAATGAGATTGACTTCATTATGACGACCAGACGACAACTGTTCAGTGATGTCTCCGTGATCGCGAGGGTGAAAACTGGTAGCGATCACCGAATGGTTAGAGGCACACTGAACCTAAACGTTAAGTTGGAGAGGTCTCGTCTAATGAAGTCAACGCTCCGTCCCCCTCGTGCTCTGTTCCAAAGTCCCGAAACCTTTCAGCTCGAGTTACAAAACCGATTTCAGTGCCTAGAAGACTGCAATGAAGTGGACGATATAAATGACAAGCTCGTGGAAACTGTCCATGCGGTCGGAGCTAAGTTCTGCAAGACCCGCCGCAGAAGAACACAAAAACTCTCCGATCACACTCTTAATCTCATGGCTGTTAGACGGGAGATGAAGCTACATTCTTCAACAGACTTGACAGCATACAGGCATCTGAACAGACAGATCTCCAAATGCATGCGGCGGGACTTACGTAACTGCAATACAGCTCGTATTGAAGAAGCGATAGAGCGGAACCAAGGCTCCAAAGTCTTTGCCAGAGATCTGTCTGCCAGAAAGAGCCAACTGTCAAAGCTGAAGACGGAATGTAGCAGCATCGTTTCCGGGACACCTGAGATTTTGAGTGAGATTGAGAGGTTCTATGGGCAGCTGTACACGTCATCGTTGGAGCCACACGCAAGTGTGAGTAACGATCCAAGAGCGAGTCTCATCCGACACTAATCCGAAGATATCCCGGACGTCAGTCTGAGCTAGATTAGAATGGCTCTCCAGCACCTTAAAAACGGTAAGGCCCCAGGCGAGGATGGAATTACAGCGGAGCTTCTGAAAGCGGGTGGAAGACCGGTACTTGAAGTCCTTCAGAAGCTCTTTAATTCCGTCCTCCATGGTGGCATTACACCGGAGGCGTGGAGCAGAAGTGCGGTGGTCTTGTTCTTCAAGAAAGGTGACAACGCTCTCTTGAAGAACTACAGACCGATTTCCCTTCTGAGCCGCGTCTACGTGCTGTTTTCGAGAGTCATTACGAATCGTCTCGCGCGCAGACTTGACGACTTCCAGCCTCCCGAACAAGCCGGTTTCCGAAAGGGCTTTAGCACCATAGACCACATACATACCCTTCGGCAAGTTGTACAGAAGTCCGAAGAGTACAATTTGCCACTATGTCTGGCGTATGTGGACTATGAGAAAGCCTTTGATTCCGTCGAAATTTGGGCGGTGCTGCAGTCCCTTCAGCGGTGCCAAATTGACTGTCGGTATATCGAAGTGTTGAAGTGCTTGTACAGTAGGGCTACGATGGCTATCCGAGTACAGAACCAGAGTACGAAACCTATCCAATTGCAGAGAGGTGTAAGACAGGGTGACGTCATATCCCCGAAACTCTTTACCGCTGCATTGGAAGATGTTTTCAAGCTTCTGGACTGGAAAGGATACGGTATCAACATCAATGGCGAGTACATCACTCACCTTCGATTTGCCGACGATATAGTCCTTATGGCAGAATCGCTGGAGTAGGCCCTCCAGCGATTCTATGCACTATGTATGCACTATCATTGAGCACTATGCTCAATGACCTCAATAGTGTTTCCCAACGGATAGGTCTTAAGATGAACATGGACAAAACAAAGATTATGTTTAATGTCCATGTCACACCTATGCCGGTAGTTGTTGGGAGCACTAAGCTCGAAGTTGTTGACGAGTATGTTTACCTGGGACAAATAGTCCGACTAGGTAAGTCCAACTTCGACCGAGAGGTCAATCGACGGATTCAACTCGGCTGGGTAGCGTTCGGGAAGCTACGACACATCTTCTCGTCAGACATACCTCAAAACCTTAAAACGAAATTGTACAACCAGTGCGTGTTGCCAGTGATGACTTACGGAACTGAGACGTGGTCCTTCACTGCTGGCCGTATGAGGAAGCTCAAGGTCGCTCAGCGAGCTATGGAGAGGGCTATGCTCGGAGTTTCTCTGCGTGATAAACTTAGGAATGAGGATATCCGCAGTAGAACCAGAATAACCGACATAGCCCAACGATTTAGTAAGCTGAAGTGGCAGTGGGCCGGCCATATAGCTCGAAGAACCGACAACCGATGGGGAAGAAAGGTTCTCGAGTGGCAACCTCGTACCGGTAGGCGAAGTGTAGGGCGTCCCCCCACGAGATGGAGTGACGACCTGGTAAGACATGCTTGAAGTCGATGGATGCAGGTGGCTCAGGACCGTGCTTTGTGGCATTCTTTGGGGGAGGCCTATGTTCAGCAGTGGACTTGTGAAGGGCTGTAATGATGATGATGATGATGATTCTAAGAGATTTATAAGGGTATTTCCAGGAAAACCTGTTGGGACAAAATGGCTATTTGTGTGTAAATTGGTAGAGTACGATACTTTCATACAATTGTGGCAGCCCAGAAATCTCGAAATTCGAGGCAGCCAGTGCGTCTTCTTTCTTTCAAACTTTTTCCCTTTAATTTTTCTTTGCTTTTTGAGATTTTTTGAGATTAAAAATATCAAGTGTTGTAGGCGAGTACGGCGTACGTTGTTTTTGGTACACCAGAGTCCTGACTTTAGTCCCTTGTTATAATGATAAGATACTTTTTTGGCACAAGCTGTCTCCCATACCATTCTATAGTCCTCTAGCACCAAAGCATGTTCCGTCTTGCTAAATAGGTAGTAGCCTTGTTCATTGTGTGCATCACGCACGGCAAAATTTCGATAGAGTTACATAATTTTCAAAGCACCATACGTCGACTCTCTCTTTTTTACGGAATCATAGTCACAAGATAAAAGGACCTGGTTATTGCCTAGGTTCGAATTCAGTCTTCTTTGTTCGATTTAAATTACATGAAAAACAAGGTATATATCCTTTCATTTTATATTAACGAATATCTGTTCTTCTTGTCGGGACCTCTTGTCCCTAAAAAGTCAACCACCCCTTATAGCTCTCCCAAACTTCCACAACTAGGTAACATTCAACAATATGAAATGCAGTATGATATTAAAAGACAGCGCTTACCAAATATCCTTGTAAAGACGCACCAGCAACTTTTGTGAGAGAGTAGTATCTTCTTCGAACAGCAACATCAAACTGACCATTAATATATCACTAACATTTAAGTCACTTCCCCCTGCCTCTTAACCAGTAATACCCTCTTAGCAACATTAATTCTAACCATATTTAGTTCGCATTCACGACAGGAGCATTTATTTTGTGTCATCTAGTAGCTTATTTCATCGTCAGTCAGTATATCGTGAACAGTTTTTTCCTCATTCGCTTTGAATTTCTTTATCATAAATTTATCAGTTTGTGAATTTGTGCGGCACTCATCTCAAATCTCAAAAAACACTTATTGATTGAAAGTAGGTTGTGAATGTTGGTTTGTATTATTGCTGATCTTATTTATTTATATATAATTACTTATGTAGAATTACTGTTTTGTAGATTACATAAGTAATTCGTCCGTTTCCTCAAATGACTGCACATTCGAAAGTTGTGTGTTCAAATCCGCCATTCAATCCTTGTCATGAATCACACCTGATAAGAATTTTAAGCTTAGTATTAGTGGTTAGTTGAAGCAATATAACGTAAATAGAATTTAAAAACTAAATTTTGTCATTACAAACCTGTATAAAACGATTAAATCGATTTGCAATCGCTTAAAACAAACACGTTCAATGAAACTTAGTTCTACAGATTTTTTCGCTCCGTAAAAATAAGTTTAATTTTTTTACGTGGTAGAGCCATGCTGCAGTTATATTAATAGTATAGTTGTTACGGCCCACAGATGCCCCTACAAGGATCAAATATCCCGGGGCCCATGAGCGGAAGATTCAACGGGCAGCCGAGGGTTCGGGCCCAAATGGCCATATGGAAACATGTCCTATCCTACTACACTATAGGGAGAAGACTAGTCAAATAAATAGTACGTACCTGGGTCTGAGGCGAAGACTGTCCCAAGGTTCGGTCAGGCCGAAGGTGTGTAGGTGCATGTATAGTGGTGTTTAGTGGTATGGGTTATGGTTGACCTGACTGAACCGTTGAAGCCGACAGCAATCCTTACTCCGGCGCCGCCCCAAGGTGTGGTACTCTCCAGCGGCGTCACCCACGGTCTATTTCTTTCTTCATGTCACTATTTCAGTCTATCACTTTACCGTACACTAAACTAACTTCAAAACGCAACTAATTCAACGTTCATCGGAGAATCAAACACGTGATAATCGACTCGAGTAACGGACAGTAGTTCAAAGTTCAACATTCAATATTCCAGATTCATTTATCACCAAATTACAAATAGGGAACTAACGCGATCTCTTCACGAGTCACAAAGTTCAGCATTCAACCGACAATCACTACAAGTTACGTAAATTACTTTCCAACGAATTTAGGTTAATCCATCAAATTATTACTGCTTTGTCATTGCGTGAACGCACTAAGGATAAGCAAACCAGAAACGAAAAACTCCAATAGCAAATTCCACACGCATCAAAAACCCGAACGTTGGTCGCAATAAATATTAATTCTAAATAATTAATCCTCGTCGTTGCATCAATTTTCTAACAAAACCGACTCTAAAAAATGGAGGTTATCCCGGGCGACCTCACGACGTGCTATCGACAGCACTGCATTCAAGCAACTCCCTTGCACTCACGTTCTGCGCTCGCGCCCTCTGCCCAGTGACGCACACGGGAGTGGGGCCACTGTGACCTTTACAAGTCAGCGGGCGGACACGAGTGTGAATGCAAATTTCAAATGTTGTTTGGCCTAAACAATAGTTGTAGCACGAATGAGTCAGCTCGACCGGGGAAGGACCACGCTCTCACAGAATACCAGCGTCAAATAGCAGCTTAATGCTGCTGTGTTTCGTATGGTGAGTGTAGAGAACCGGAGACCCTTTTTACTATATACTAAAGAATTTTTACAGTATACTAAAGAAACAAATTCGAGATATCTACTTTATGGCTCTCACACTGTTTGCGATGCGACGTGACAATATTTTCAAAAAATGATTTCATGTTTCTAAGAATAAAGCCAAATTTATGTTAATAACAAATTATGCTAATTTCTGAAAGATAAAAATATTTGTATTAACTTATTCATGCATTATAGAGCAATCGGCTATGTTTTACGAATAAAGAATTAAAATTTTAACTAATTCTACACTTACGCATTAACTAAAAAAAAAACAAAATAAAATATAACAAAACATAAAATTTATTACTAGTTCTTTTTATTTAGTAAACAAGATTTTAAATAAAGAATTATAACAAAAAAGAAATTCAAAACTTTATGATAAGAAAAGGGAAAAAGCAAATCTATACAAATAAATAAAATTGAAGTGTCTGTTTGTAATGTCAAAATTACAGTTTTTTACTAAATGCATATGAAAGTAAATACGATACCTATAACTAAAATACAATTTTTTAAATTTTTGTCTGTCTGTCTGTCTGTCTGTCTGTTTGTTCCGGGTAATCTCCGAAACGGCTGGACCGATTTTGACGGGAATTCCACTGGCAGATAGCTGATTTCATAAGGAGTAACTTAGGCTACTTTTATTTTAGAAAAAGAATCAGAGTTCCGCGCAGAAACATAAAAACCCTAACACGCGAACGAAGTCGCGGGGAACAGCTAGTACATGAAATAAATTTTAATATTTATTCAGATGTGGATTTATAGAAGATGCCTGTCAATGACGCTTCATTTAAAATAAGGATATAACATAATCTTTCAATGTCCTCATGTTAATTTATAGCAAGTAAAATTTCTAATAATAACAACGGTTTCGAACAAAGGTTTTCAATGTGACTCTAAATACCGGCAACATTCCGAACCAATGGGCAGAATCACATATAATAAATACTCCTACACAAAAAGGTCCAAAAGATGATTTAGGAAATTATATACCCATTTCTCTTATCTCAAATGTATATTAAGTCTTCGCTAAAGTGATTCTAGACAAAATATCACTCACACTCGACGAAAGTCAACCTGTGGAACAGGCGGGGTTCAGGAAAGATTTTAGTACTATTGATCATATACATACATAGTCAAACAGCTCATACAGAAATACAATGAATACAACAAAACCATTTACCTGCCCTTTATAGATTATGCCCAAGCTTGTGATAGCCTTAAACACGAATCGGTATGGCAGAGTCTAAAAGAGCAGGAGATCCAAAATGCCTACGTAAATATTATCAAAATATTTATAGTCAAAATAAAGCCAGAATCAGGCTAGAATCTACAAGAGTTGTTTTCCCAATCAATATAGGCGTCAAACAAGTTGACCCACTCTCACCAAATGTGCTTACAGCAGTGCTTGAGCAAATGTTTGGGAAATTGGAATGGTCATATCTAGGACTAAACATAAACGGAACACGATTGAGTCATCTGAGATTTACAGACGACCTAGTTATAACGGAAGAGGACCCACTTATACTGGAATCCATGATACAAGCCCTAATAGACAGAAGTAGAGAAGTAGGTATAGAAATTAACATATGCAAGACAAAAATGATGACCAACTCAATACCCATAGACATAACCATCAACGGACAGAAACTTGAATATGTAGAGGAATATGTGTATCTAGGCCAGATAATATCGCCAAATGACCAAATATCCAAAAAATAGACAAAAGAATTGCGCCTGGGTGGAAGAAGTATTGGGTCTTGAAAGAAATCATGAAAAGCAAGGAACTGGACATGAAGATCAACAAGAAGAAAACTTTCGATACCTGCATCCTACCCTGCATTACATATAGCTGCGAAACCTAGTCTTTGACAAAACGCCATAGGGACAAAGTAGTAAGATGTTAGAGAAGCATGGAAAGAAGCATGTTAGATTTGAAACTAATAGATAAAGTAAGAAATATAGACATCAGGCGCAAAACTAAATTAACAGACATACTGGCACGCAGTGATCAACTTAATTTTTTTTTTGTATAGGATAAAGGGGACAAACGAGCACACAGTCCACCTGATGGTAAGTGGTTGCTGCGGCCCATAGACATCTACATCTATCCTCGTTTGCGAATCAAAATGCAGATGCGTTGCCACCCGTGAGGACTAAGATGGAATGCCTCATTTCCAGTAAAAAGGAAAAGTGGAGCAAACAGGTGACAGTTTGGTATCCAAGGAACAGCACTAGGAGCCAAGGTCGTAAATCAAGAAGATGGGAGGATGATCTAAAATTGACCTTAGAACCCCTTTGGATAAGAGTAGCGGCAGACACAAGACAGCGAAAAGACTTGGAGGAGGCCTTTGTCGAAAGACACACTGAAATAAGAGATATTTTGTAATATAAGTTTAGTTTTAGTTATATTGTTGTACTTTCTTTTTTAATTCTTTGTTTTAGTTTGGCTTAATTTGCAGCTACAACGTGTAATATCTAAATTATTTCCGAAAATAAAGACTTCATTATCATTATTATTATTACATAAATTTTCTAATAACACTTTGCCAGAGATGTAGTAAGGCGCCATTGTTACAATTAACTTAATGGGCGTTTCCACAGACTAAATAAGTGCATAATATTAGACGCCTCTTAGACGATATATTATATTGCGAATCTTACGAATTGTGCAATATTATTGACCATATAGGGTTAATATTGAAGATTTCGCAATGATTGAACGAAAGTTTGAGCGAGTTTAATTTTTATTGCACCATAGTTTTCCATTTCATCGTGTAGGGTCAGTATTGCGCAATATTGTTTAGTCGCTGTTTCGTCTTGACGAGAAGAAAACGCGCGCGCAAACATGGCGGATAAAAAGAATTCCAAAGTAAAAAAATACAAGTTTATCGTCGAATGGATTCAATTTTACAGAGAATTGCCGTCTCTGTGTAATGTCAATAGCAAGCATGACCGTGATAAAAAAATGATAAGGAAAATGATGCTAATGACTCAATGGTGAACGAAGGTTCATTATCTCAATATACATATGATTTAATAAATAAATGAACAGATTTTATTTATCTTGATTAATTCCTTCAAAACATGTATTATTGCATCGCAGGTTTCTATAATTATTATAGAAAAACTTTGTGGGGAAATATCACTATGAAACTTTAAATCTTCCAGAGTATTATCGGTCGCAAGACACCGTAATGTTATTGAAAGCCGTTGAAAAGGTTGTGTTGCTTCCGTAACCAATTCTAGTAGTTCTTGAAACTTTTGTAAGTTCAGTCGTACAAAATTTTTGAAGTCGTATAAGATTTTCGTGAGTGTATTTCTGCCTTTTTCTTGTACCAATCTTTCGACTAGCGACGTGTTCGTTTATGTTTACGTTTAGCCACAAGTAAGAACACTACAGCTACAGCTAAATCTAGGTCGCACATGTTGCTTTACGCACAGTGGACATGGGATTAATACTATTCTCCGACTGAACACGAAAACATTGCGTAGTTCGTATTACTGTGCAATATAATTGATCGTTTGGATCGAAAGCGCCTATCAATCTTATTGTACAATAAAATGTATTGTACAATGTTATTATAGGTCTAGGGGCCTCTAAAGAATACTATTGCAAAGTAACTCAGAGTACAACATAACAAATACTATTAAACACCTACCCTATTAAAATTAACGTTCCACAAATAAATAATTCTCTTTAAATAATACGAAATTCACTGACACACAACATTAATATATAAGTTAACTTATACGCATTAAATCTCCAATGTCTGAGAGAATTACCGCTTCTCGTGACTGCGGCCCTCCGCAGTCCGTCACCAATTCCTACCCTCCAATCTTTCCTCAAGTTCGGAAACATGACCCATCTGAATTATAACATTTTTTTATATCACCACAGTATTTAGTAAATTTAAGTAGCCACGCCTGAGTCACATCTGTCAAGTATAATGACAGAACTTGGAATAGCCGTGTTCGTAAGTGGACAGTGTTGAAAATTAACACAGAACGCCTCCCAACCAGATGGAAAATGATCAGTGAGAGACAGTCTGGCTACAACTGTCAATGAACTCTATAATTGGGATAATTATAAATAAGATATAATAATGATAAAAAGGTATTCTGAATGATCTAAGGTTTATCATTTATTTACATAAAATACAATATGTAAATATAAACTTAAATTATCATAAAATCCTACTCCTCTAGGTATAGTGCCAAGAACGCTGGCTGCGTTTCTTCGCTGAATAGTGATACATAAACTGCAGTTGCTAACCCACCCACCTGCCAAGAATGGAAACTTTGCAAAGTAAGTCATGATAGTTATTCGGGTTTGCCAATAAGACGGAATATTTATCTGCACATCTTCAAAGTGGAATACAATTTTTTATTATAGTATTGTATATTAATACTCTTAATAATACTTTCAAATTTTTTATTTTGTTTTGTATTGTTAACTTAATTAGAATAATGTATGGTGAAATTGAAATGTCGTTTTGACAAAAATCTTAAAAATAATTACAGAAAAAATATTTGGCTATATTCCCCCTATAAGAAAATCTATGGCAGCCTATATACACGGTGAACTTCTAAGAGACTGTAGTGATCTACAGTACTAGTCATAATGATGGGGAAGATTAGAAATCGAATCATACCATAATTTAACTTCGATCAATACTACATTAAATGTGGTGATTCTTTATTTATTTATTTTTTTGGTTTTCGTCACTTATATTTAAAATTTATTTTCCCAATACTCGTTACTTCCTGTTTTACTTCGTCGTTTCTTTAAATATGTTACACTTCACACTTTACAACACACACAGTGTATTACAGTCTTAACCCGCATACTAATTTTATAATCAAAAATACAAGCTGCTTCACGTCATGTGTCAGCGTTCTTTAGACAAGCCAGTATTAAATTTTGCTAGCATTTCAGTAAAACTTTAAGAAATACTTGTTAAAAAACATATATTTTTTTAGGTATTTTTTTTTTCACTCTAAATATTTGTTAGAAGGTCGTCTCAACACTTGGATAATATGTAACAATTAATAAGGTTCATTGGGAAAGAAAACTAAAAAGTATAAGAGAAAATTTTAAGGTAACACATTTATAAAACAAGAAAATATACCAATAAAATATAATATAGTAATGATAATGATAATTATAATTTAAGCCAAATATTCATCTCTAATTAATAACAGCTACCACTGACTTCCATTCCTTTGGAGTTTGGGTATCCTTTCGAGTTTGTGGTTTCCTTTCTATTCGTAGAAAAGTCTCCGCATATTCCACTCGCGAATTATGTCAAACTCGCACTGATTAAACTTGATTGGGTTCCTCTTTTTCTGCATAAAAACTGTGCCATGGGAACGCTTTCGCATATATCCGTGGCCAGAAAGGCACGCGGAACAAACCAAACTTTTTTAAATGCCCCCGATCTGCAACCGTGCCATGAAAACTACTTTCCCATAAGGAGCCCACTACCGCCGATTATTGATAGAGCTCCGTTAGATTCGCGGAGCTTGACTGCGAGCAAGGTGAGAGGACAACCATTCTGCCGGGTTCCACTAACGCGCACCCAGAGCGGGATCACATCATTACAGCCTTTTACAAGTCCACTGCTGAACATAGGCTTCCCCCAAGGAATGCCACAAAGCACGGTCCTGAGCCACCTGCATCCATCGACTTCCTGCACGCCTTACCAGGTCGTCACTCCATCTCGTGGGGGGTCGCCCTACACTTCGCCTACCGGTACGAGGCTGCCACTCAAGAACCTTTCTTCCCCATCGGTTGTCGGTTCTTCGAGCTATATGGCCGGCCCACTGCCACTTCAGCTTACTAATCCGTTGGGCTATGTCGGTTACTCTGGTTCTACTGCGGATATACTCATTTCTAAGTTTATCACGCAGAGAAACCCCGAGCATAGCCCTCTCCATAGCTCGCTGAGCGACCTTGAGCTTCCTCATACGGCCATCAGTGAAGGACCACATTTCTGATCCGTAAGTCATCACTGGCAACACGCACTGGTTGTACAATTCCGTTTTAAGGTTTTGAGGTATATCTGTCGAGAAGATGTGTCGTAGTTTCCCGAACGCTGCCCAGCCGAGTTGAATCCTTCGATTGTCTTCTTGGTCGAAGTTGGACTTACTATACTCGTCAACAACTTCGAGATTAGTGCTCCCAACAACTACCGGCATAGGTGTGACATGGACATTAAACATAATCTTTGTTTTGTCCATGTTCATCTTAAGACCTATCCGTTGGGAAACATTATTGAGGTCATTGAGCATAGTGCTTAGGTCCTCCAGCGATTCTACCATAAGGACTACATCGTCGGCAAATCGAAGGTGAGTGATGTACTCGCCATTGATTTTAATAACGTATCCAGTCCAGAAGCTTGAAAACGTCTTCCAATGCAGAGGTGAAGAATTTGGGGATATAAAGTCACCCTGTCTTACACCTTTTTGCAATTGGATAGGTTTCGTACTCTGGTTCTATACTCGGATAGCTATCGTAGCCCTACTGTACAAGCACTTCAGCTCTTCGATATACCGACAGTCAACTTGGCACCGCTTAAGGAACTGCAGCACCGCCCAAATTTCGACGGAATCAAAGGCTTTCTCATAATCCACATACGCCAGACATAGTGGCAAATTGTACTCCTCGGACTTCTGTACAATTTGCCAAAGGGTATGTATGTGGTCTATGGTGCTAAAGCCTTTTCGGAAACCGGCTTGTTCGGGAGGCTGGAACTCGTCAAGTCTGCGCGCGAGACGATTCGTAATGACTCTCGAAAACAGCGCGTAGACGCGGCTCAGAAGGGAAATCGGTCTATAGTTCTTCAAGAGAGCGTTGTCGCCTTTCTTGAAGAACAAGACCACCGCACTTCTGCTCCACGCCTCCGGTGTAATGCCACCATGGAGGACGGAATTAAAGAGCTTCTGAAGGACTTCAGGTACCGGTTTTCCACCCGCTTTCAGAAGCTCCGCTGTAATTCCATCCTCGCCTGGGGCCTTGCCGTTTTTAATGTGCTGGAGAGCCATTCTAATCTAGCTCAGACTGACGTCCGGGATATCATCGGAATAATGTCGGATAAGTCTCGCTCTTGGATCATTACTCACACTTGAGTGCGGCTCCAACGATGACGTGTACAGCTGCCCATAGAACCTCTCAATCTCACTCAAAATCTCAGGTGCCCCGGAAACGATGCTGCCACATTCGGTCTTCAGCTTTGACAGTTGGCTGTTTCTGGCAGACAGATCTCGTCCAGGAGATTGGAAGTCGTCAAGTCTGCGTGCGAGACGATTCGTTATAACTCTCAAAAAAACACGTAGACACGGCTCACAAGGAAAATCGGTCTGTAGTTCTTTAAGAGAGCGTTGTCA